CAATCATCCCGCCCTTACTGTATAAATCCTAGGTGATCATGGTACGTCCAGCCCTACCAATCACACCATCGCAGCAGTTTGGCAGTGGAGACTGCGACATTCTTTGTGTTAAGTATTTCGAATATGATGTAACAGGGACTCGTTTAGATACATTGAGGCAAAATATGATGTCATACTTTAGGAGGCAATTTGCCTTTCAACTATGGGGTAATAAGGTTGTATGGTGATTGAGAAATACAATGCTATTTTTTGGTGCAATCTATTGACTTAAATTATTTTTTTGATGTATTTGTCGATCGGTGCTAGTGGATTGAGTTGGTTAAGGGTGAATTTAGTAAAGTGAAGTTATTAATGGAGTTTAGGACTGCATTTTCAATATTAGGATCATCTTAATCTTTATTTCGGAAGAACATTGTACTTTACGGCCGAGGTAGGCTGGTTTACGAGCGAGGTTTTTGTAATAACTGAATAAAAAATACGAACCTTAGGCTCCACCTCGACCAAGGTCGTGCCCGAAGATTTTGGCAGCACTAAAAAGAACCAACCTCGGGCTCCACCTCGATCGAGGTCGAGCCCGAGAATTATAATAGTATCGTAAAAATAGCATACCTTGGCTCCACCTCGATCGAGGTCGAGCCCGAGAACTTTGACAGTATAGACCTATTATCAATGCATTCCAAAATGAACCTACAAAATACATGTTTTAGATTCTAGCAAAACCATAATGTCATAAAAACGTAGCACATATTCAAACGAAACAAAATGCAGTACACAAGTATATCAATCTATTCGGTTTAAGTTGTTCGAAGCGGCTGTCTACACGTCTTGCGATTGTGTCCAACGTTTCCACATCGCCCACATTTGTGTACCTGGCAGACTTCACCAGCTTATGGTATCCTGACAGTTTGGCGACGTCCAATACGAGGAACGAATCTGGGTGGCTTAATCATCGTAGGCACATAGTCATCTGGTAAAATCCAATCTTCTTCATCTCCAAGCAGGTACACGGGTTCGACATAAGCATGTATGAGGGTATCTATTCGGTACCTATCAGAACATAATGTATGCACACTAATGTTATGAAGCACCGCCCCGGAAATGGCGTAAGAGCATGGAATTTCGTAATAGTCAAATTGTTTGCATGTGCAGGTCTTGCTATTAATGTTTACACGTACCTTGGTTGCACCATCATGCATTTCGAATTTGAAACGATCAATCGACTTAACATGATGATATCGAGCTTGTTCAGCCGCTTCTTTAAGAATATTCTCTGCATATTCGGTGAGAAATGTTCCTCAACTAGACCCGGCGGTCTGCCTATTGTAAAACCATTGTTGTAGGAGAGCTCGACAATTTTCAAATAGGACTGTTATTGGCAAAGCACGAGCATGAACGAGTACCACATTCATGGACTCTGCGAGATTCGAGGTCATTTGGTTATACCTCATTCCAGGTTGATATGCGCGAGCCCACTTGTCGAAGCCGATGTCTTCCAAATATTTGTGTACTCCGGGGAATTCGGCGAGTTGGCCCCAATATTATCGAAACTTTGATACCTTGAACGCCTTGGCTGCTTTACAGAAAATCCTCTTCATCCCCTCATTTCTAAACTTCTCGATCAACTTCATTGCTACATGATGCATACAGGTAACGTGCGCTGCATTAGGAAACACCGTTACCACGGAGTTTGTTATCATTTGATGCCGGTCAGATACAAAAACTAAACCATCTACGTTACCTATACAAATTTTAACTCTCTCCAAAAACTATATCCACGATTCATCGGACTCCATATCAACAACCCCGAAAGCTAGAGGGTAAATTTGGTTGTTACCATCTACTGAGGAAGCAGTAAGTAAGACACCCTTGTACTTCCTCTTCAGATGTGCTCCGTCAACCACTAATACCTGCCGAATGCAACTTCCAAAACCCCTAATCGAGCATCCTAAGGCCATGAATGCATACTTGAAGCATGTGTCGTCCTCCAACTTTATCTGAAATACACTTCCTGCATTCACAGCCTTCAAAGCTGCTTTATACTTATGTATAGTAGTATATGACTCTTTAGGTGATCCCATCAATAGGCTCAATGCGACTTCTCTCGCCTGCCATGCCTTTTCGTATCGGATATTGACATCGTAGTTCTTTCGCATGTTGGTAATAATATCCTTAGGATGGTAACGACGACTAATATCCTCGAGATTGGTCTTTATCAGCTGGCCGACCACCCAACTACCGGCTTGCTTATGGTCGTGCCTCAGTGTCTCTCGTTCATGAATGTGGTCATTGGAAAATGTAGAGATGAGGAAGGTATCTGAACCTTTAATTTTCCGTGCACGCAAGGCCCATCTACATCCCTCTTCTTTGCATGCAACACCTAACAAACTCCTGGTAGATTTCTTAACCTAAAACTCAAAGTTTTTTTGGATAACAAAAACAGCCAATGTAAAGTGCAATTCATCCTTATACCGAAAAGACTGTCAAGTGCAATGTCATCAACCAAGTCATCGTCACAAACAACCGTATCCATCTGTTCTAAGGATGCATGCACACCCTCGACTGTTGCACAATGAGCATTCCTACTAACAGACTGTACTTCAATAATAGGTGTTCTTAAGGATGGATCACCATCACACATTGGTTCTGTAACAACCCGTATTTTCCAATACGGTCATTCTGACAAAATGCGGAAGCGTGAACAACTAAACACTAAATTAACAGAAAGACTTCCTTATTTAATACGATACTATGACAAAAGATAAGGACAAGTCCAACTTTAACACAAAAAAAACCTACACTATAATAAAGCCAAAGAATAACTACTAGAACTAACTAAGTTCTCATAAGCTAAAAACAATGGAAAATACTAAAGATTTCAACTTCTCATGCCAGAACGCTATTCCTCAATCACTATCTGAGCAGTCACTTGAACCTTCATCTGAAAACATTTAAAAAAACAGGAAAAAAAATGACTACAAAAATACTCGTTAAGCAATTTCCATATCGAATTTCAAAATTCATTTTACTTTCAAAACATTCGTAAACAAAAATACGAACAAATCAAAACTTTTAAAGTCTTTTAAAAATATTTAATACAATTTTCAAAACTTTCAAAAATAAACTAGATTTTCGAAAAACAAAGTCTTCAAATAAAATAAAATTTCCAGTCAATCAAAACAAACTTTCATTTTTTCAAAACAAACTTTAATTCGATCAAACTTCAAATCCTTCAAAACAAACTTTCTTTCAATTAAAACTTTCAAAGTTCATTCTAAAACACTTGGTACAACTCTTTGAGAGAAAATACCAAAACTTTTCTTCTTTTCTTTTCTTTTTCTCTTTGAGAAAACTAGGTCTAACAGTTTAAGAAAATAAAACAGGGCTTTTATAACAAACCCTAATGAATCTTATTTAAAAAGGATAGTAAAAAGATAAAGATTTAATAAAACTCTTTCTTTTTATTTTATTTTTTATCAAATTCTAAGAACAAATTATCTTTAAAAAAAATAATATTTAAAACAAAAATTTATATTTGTTGAGAAAATAAAGAAAACAACTGAATAAAAATAATAATTTAAATATATATATTTATATTTTTTTTCGGTTGTTACAGGTTCCTCCGCTTCATTATCATCCTCGCTCTCAATCTCTTGGTAATCATCGTCATCGAGATCATCCTCGAGGTCATCCCCAACCATACTGTACTCATGGTCCTCATCATCTCCAACATCATCCCATTGACCGAAGTGTTTGTGTTCATCATCACCTAAATTGCATGGGACAACATTATCCGTCAATGGAGTCATAAATTTTACGGAAGATGGCGGGTGGACAGTATGTACAGGTGAGTGCATATGATTCAGTGGAGCAGGAGAAGGAACATTTTGTTCTACTTGCCATGGAAATGAGCAAATGTTTCGGTTTGAGGATATAATGATAGATCATGTGAGTTACTACCACTACCTTGTCTTTCCTTTGTTACAACAGTTACATACAAAAGTACTTGAAAGGGATGTGGAAGGCCCGTAAGGTAAAAACCAAAGCTAGGATCATCAAATATATAAAAGTTCGGCACTTGGTACTGGAACTAAAATTTGTAGTACATGTAGAACAATATTAAAAATGTCAGGATTTATTCTAGTCATCCTAAATATCGCATTTACGAGGTCTCTATATGTTATTCCTTCATCAACATTTAGACCACCCATAACTCCACCTTCATATACAGTGTCTACCTCATTCCACTGACCCCCATAAGTTACAAAAAGACGAACCATTCTGTTCTGCATTACAGAGCATTGGAAGACCATTAGAGATGAACAATAAAGTAATATATGAACATATACCTTGAGCGGGAACTATATTTTCTCGCATGAGGTGAGTTACATCCACAGCCACGCCCGGGGTGAGTTAAATAAAAATTTCATAATACTAACCTGTGACCTCGGGAGAAAATTCAGTACTCCGCCCGAGTTTCATAAAATACATGATTCTTGTCCGGGAATCAAATAACCCTGCGCGAGAATGATTAAAAAACCTAGACTACATAATGCAGGAATGCAAAAATGAGTTTCAAAATAAAAAACAAACGTTCCGAAATAAAAAAAATAGCTTTTCAGATGTAGACATCAAGCAAGGTTCTTGAGAAAAATGAGAAAGCATCAAAATTAAAGAACTACCTCTTTCAAAATGTTGAAATTTTCAAAAAGAATATTAACAATACTTTTCAGATTTTTTAGGATTGTGCAGAGATAATGTACGGGATAAGGACTTTTGTTCTCTCAAATTAGTAATGACATGTACTGATTGGTTAGATAAAAAAACTTAATAAGACTGTACAAAGTTGGTGTGAATTAAATGAACCTCGGGCGGGAATTATTCCAACGGTGCTCTATTATTGCATTTAATGATATTATGATCATTTGATCTGCTCTGACACATCGTCAATGCTTAAAGTAGGTCATTTTGGTACAATTAAAGAGAGTGGATCATTTGACCATTCTAAAAATCTTGGAGGGTTATTTGAGTCAAATTCCGAGTTTCAATCATCTCTTCCGTTGTCTCCTATGCTTTTCTTGGCTTTTCAAATCCAAACTCAAAAAAATCTGTGATCGTTTTTTCAGGAGTTCTTGGACTACTTTCTGGAGTTTGAATCTTCAAGATATCATTTTACTTAAGTTCTTACTGATTGCGTCGTTTTCAAGGTTAGGATTCGTTATTTTCCGGTGTATCGATATCATTTTCCGGCGATTTGAAGGGTTGGAGTTTTGACATCGGTGGTTTCTGTTTGATTTTTGGTGGTTTTAGGGCGGTGGCCCTCGTCTGACCGCAACGATCTCCGGCGACCCACGAGCACGACACGGCGGCGCAGTGACTTTCCTCCACGGCGCGTTCTCAACGGCAGCAGCAGCACCCTGACGGGCGCGATTCAGACGATCCAAGACTCACTGATCCCGACCGAGCTGGTAATTGGCTTGCCTAAATACAATTAAAGTGTTTCGAATTGGATCCTAATCCTCAAATCCTTATCTTTTTTCTAGGAACCAATTGGTATAACGTTAGGAGCGCTTTAGCTAAGTAGTTCAACTTGAGGGATATTTGTTGTGTTTATCTTGCCTGAATTGTGGGTTGTTTGGCTGCTTGTTTGTTCTTGCATGTGTATTTATTATCAAATTTTACTATTCTGATTATTTATCGAATGTTATGTGTAAGTTGTGGGTTGCTGATATGGTTTTGGCATACTAGATTTGTTAATTGTTGTTGTGGTTTAAGTTTTGATTGGGCTGTTATTATGGAAACATGCTGGATAGTAGATATTTTAGTTTGGTCGTAATTATGAAAGCGTGTATGTTTTGTGGTTATGTAGCATGGTGGAATGTTGTGAGTCGAATGTTGCATGAGTTCATGTTATAGGACGAATGTGAGTTTTGTAAATGTTATAGTGAAAGTATATATAACAACTGTTTTGAATACTAGGGAAAAAATGCTCTCTTCTATCTCTATCCCAAAAACTTTGCCGGAATTATGTTGCTCTCACTGTAAAGCCTCGCCATGCCACTGCCTAATCTTTGGACGATCTTCAGTGCTCTGTGATGGCCTCTCGTGGGAGTACAATAAGAATAGAAACTAAGTCTTTCTCGTGCAAGCTTTTGCCAATCAATACAAATGGAGGGTTATTCAGATAACTGAAACCCATCTTCATAGGTTTTTCTCTGTCAGTGGAAGAAGATGTCATAGTTTGGTTAGCTGACACCATAGATGATCTTATTCTTGCCTCAAACTCAGAAGTTCTTATGGAAAACTCCATGTGAAAATGGGTTTGTTTGAGTATAGAAGACCACAAATGAGAGAGGAAGTTTTATAGAGCTGATCAAGATTTTCAACTCAAGAGGTATGGCAAATATAGTGATTATGAGGGTTTAAACTACAAGGGATGGACAGATTTCAAATGTTTTCTTTTAGACTTTCGAAATGGTCAAGAACAAAAGGGTACTCTAGCGGAATCCTCAAGAAGTAGGAAGGCAAATCCTATGCAGATCACCTTCCCAGAACAACCTGCTTCTGCCAAGGAAATCATGAGAGTTGATTGGGAAAGAACTATTGTGATTACAAGAAGAGATTTTCCTGAGACGGGGGAAAGATTCTGGAAACTCTAGAGCTACAACTTCAGATGAACTTCATCATTCATTCATTCCACCCGAATAAGGCCATTCTTAAGTTTTGTTTTGAAGATACGACGAGAATGCTTAGTAGAAATGAGGGGTGGGTCACTTTTGGGGCCTTCACGATGAAGTTGGAACTATGAGACTTAAATCGACACACTAGGATGATGGCAATTCCCTAATATGGACTGTGGTTAAAGTTCAGGAACATCCCTTTTCATTTATGGAGTTTGGGTTTTTTTTAAGGACATAGATAATTGTTTCGGGAGTTTGATTGATGTTGCAGATGGAAATGATGGTCTGCTTGAATGTGAGGATGATCATAATTCTGTAGAAAGCTTCCCCTTTTCTAAGGATTTGATTGTAGCGCTGTGGAAGTACCCTTTATGCATTAGACCATTTTCTTTTAAAGGGAAATCGATTGGCAAAGGAAATAGAATTGAAGGGTCTCTATCCTTGTGGGAGACTTAGAGTAGAAGGCTAAATAAGATGATGAAGTTTCGGATACGGGTCCTCGGGTTACTTAATAAAAGTTCTCTCTTGGTATGTGGGAGGGTTGGTAGCTCCATCTGAAAGAGCTCTAGTTAAAGATCTTAAAAAATAGATCCTTTTTTTTTTTTCCGTAGGATATTAAATTATAGATCCATGTAGTTTGTTTACAAGAGTCGAAACTAGTTTGGTGGACAGAAGGTTCATTAGATCAATTTGGTGTTCCCCACACAATGGCTGGTTATCCCTATATTCGGAAGGAGGGTTTAAGTTACCGACTCTGTTTTGGGGATTTATTCAGCTACGGTTAACTTTTCCTATTTCAATGGCAAAAGTGGCGGGTTCATAGGGTGTATGGCCCCCAACGCCTCATCGTAGATTCGATATTTTGTAGAAAATTGTAGATCTTTCTGGCTTGTGTCAAGGGGCATGGTGTATGGGGGGAGACTTTAACGTGGTTAGATGGCTTTCTGAGAAATTCAGTACAAGGACCAACAAAATTACTAGAAGTATGAAAGACTTTAATTTTCTGATTATGTCGCTTGAGTTAGAAGACGTTCATCTTCTTCAACGACTCCTTTAAGTGGTCCAGTCACAGAGATCAACCCACCCTCACTAAGATTAACAGATTCTAAGTGTCTAGATCTTGCCGGGATTCATTTGAAGACTTGAGATTTGAGAGACCTTGTAGATCTACCTCCAACACTCTCCTATTCTCTTAAAGTCAGGTAGCTTGTTTCAGGGGTGGACTCCTTTCAAATTTGAAAATGCTTTGTTGGACTCTCCACTTATTCTCCCTATAGTTGAGCAATGATGGTCGAGTAATCTGCTTAGAGGTTTGCCTGGTTATTCATTTATGGAAAAGTTTAAGGGTTTAAAAGTTGTCCTTTCAAAATGGAATAAGGAGTCTCACAAATCAAGAAGGTGTTGTTAGAATCCATAGGTAAGAGAGAGGAACAAGGAGTCCTTTTCTAGGAGCTGATTAACAAAAGGAAAAGCTTGAAAGTGCAGCTGCTGTCTATCGTGATGAAGGAACAGAGCATGTGGGCAAGAAATGTAAATTATGCTGGTTGAGTGAGGGAGGTGAAAATTCTACTTTTTTTCATCGGTGGACTTCTTTTCGGAAGAACGAAGCATTTATAGCAATGATAGAAGATGCTAGTGGGCGCCTTCTTAATGAAGAAAGGGATATTGAAGAAGAAATCTTAGGTTACTTCTCTAATCTCTATGGCTGCTGGGAAAAACAAGGCTTTATCATTGAAAATTGAGCATGGGAACCTTTGTCCAGTGAGCGAAAGATGCTGATGGAAACTCATTTTATGGAGGAAGAGATTTATAAGGTAGTTTCTAACTTGGGAACTTGAAATCCCTCGGTCCAGATGGGATGACAAACGAATTCTTGGAAAGGGCTTGGAACACTATTAAATTCGATATAGTAGAGGTGTTCCAAGACTTATTTGAGAAAAGTATTATTAATAAACGGACTAACAAGACCTACATTTGCCTTAGCCCCCAGAAAAACAAAGCTTCTTCGGTTAAAGACGTTAGACCTATTAGTTTGGTGACTTCTTTGTATGAAATTATAGCAAAAGTGTTGGCCATCAGACTAAAACGTCCTTCCCTTTATCATCAATGATTATCAAGTTGCTTTTGTTGAAGGTTGTCAAATCCTCGTTGCTATATTGGTAGCTTCTCAATTAATGGGTTTTTTAAGAAAGAAAAAAGGTTATTTGCTCAAGTTAGATTTCGAAAAGTCTTATGACAAGGTGGGTTGGTCCTTCCTTGATGAAGCTTTGAAGCTCAAAGCTTTGGATGTAGATGGAGAAAGTCAATCCTGGGTTGTGTGTCGTCGGCCCACTTTCTCAATTTTGATCATCGACAAACCAAGAGGTAAAATTCATTCCCAAAAGGGATTAAGGTTGGGCAATCCTCTATCATCTTTCTTTTTTACTATAATAGGGATGCCTTAAGCCGTTTGATGCACTTCTGTGCGGGAAAGAATATCCTAAGAGGTTTTTGGGAAAAATTATGTGGAATTAACTTACCTTCAGTATGCTAACCATGTGATTCTTTTTTGTCCTCATTCTTCGGATATGTTATGTTACAAAATTGGTCGAGCATACTTAACATTTTTCCAATTTGTTCAAGATGTTGCTGATTGGTATCAAATGTGATCAAGCAGATGTTAATAGATGGGCTTTGAAGTTCGGCTGCAAGGTGGAGAGTTTGGCTTTCACCTACCTGGGTTTACTCTCGAGGGTAACCAAAAGTTGGTGAGTTTTTGGGATCCTCTAGTTGACAAAATGAGATCTAGACTTGATCAATGGAGAAACATTGTTTTATCCAAGGGTGGCAAACTCACGTTGGCCCAAGTGGTTCTTAATAGCCTCCCGAGGTCTCGGTATACTATTTTTTTTTTATAGGAAACAAATTTCATTGATATCATTAAATTACAAAAAAGAGCCCTATCCAATGAAGTTACAAAAAACTTCTCCAGTTGGATATGACTCGGTATACTATTTTTCAATTCTGAAAGCTCCAAAACAGGTCATTTTAGCAGTGGAAAAGCTGATGAGGGACTTCATTTGTACTGTGGGGTTTTATGAACAGGGTAGCCACCTTTTTAAATGGAAATGGACTTCACTTACTCAACCTTATGGAGGAGTAGGTGTTGGGTCTTTGGAGCAGAGGAATCATGCCCTTCTTCTCAAATGGTTATGGAGGTTTGTTCATGAAGAACTAGCTTATGGCGCAAAGTTATTGTTGGGATTTATGGCCTTCAGCCTTATGGATGGAGTATTAAGGCATAGACAAAAACAGAGCCCTTATTTTAAATTTGGTGAGTTTTAAAGTTTATAATGAGCGTAGGATGAGGTTTTGGGAAGATGCATGGGCTGATTCTTCCCCGCTCTCCCTTTTCCCCGGTTTTTTCTCTATTTCCTCCAAGAAAGGCTGTACAATTGCAGATTGACGTAGGCGTGTGAGTGTGTCGTTGCATGGATTTTTTTAATAGATTTAGCCATAAGGTTAGTGGGAAGGGAAGAAAAGGGTAATAAATTACTGGGAGTCTTTTGTAGAGAGATTTTAACCTCTCAAAAGTCTTTAGAATTTGTACTTTTTCTTTCCACGTTAAGCATAATTCTGTGAAGACGTTCTATTACAATCATTGCTAAAAAAAGGCAAAATAGTAGTGGGGAAAAAACCTATAGGAATGGAAAAATAACACATTGGGGTATTAATTATTACTAAATATAAAATTGAAAAGAAAGTAATACATAGTAGATGAGAAGTAAAAATGGGATTTTGAGCATACTTTGTTTTGTTTTATTTATTTATTTTTTTTTTCTGAATAGTCAATATTTCAAATGGTAAGGTATTAATTTAAAGTTACCATCCAACTCCCAACCCTTCATGTTAACCATCTTTGATGCTGATGTGAGCTGTTTCCTTTCTTTTTCCTTCTCCCTCTCTCTCTCTCCCCTTCCTTTTTCTTTCTTTCTCGTGATTTATAATATTAGGGATTGTGTCAGCAGGGAGATAGTGAGAGCAAGCTACAAAGGAAGGGTGATAAAAACCTTATTAGAATGAGTAACATGAGATGTCAACACTGTGCGGGTCCTCTTTCGAAGGATATGGTCTTTTGCCTTCACTCTCAACTTTCTTCTATTGTCTTGAACTCCCCCAGAGTTTAATTTAAATCTAAACTTCTGTACGTATATTGCAGGAAACCAGTGCTTGGACAATTCCTCCTCTTATTAGGGATAGTTTCTCTATGGTATTATTTTTGCTTCTTACACCAGATTGAACTCATGATTTTCTATCCGTATTCTCTAAATATATATCCAGAAAATTGTCATTCATGCTATTTATAAATTGTATTAATCTTGCTGCCTTTCCTGTTGTACTGACTTGTGCATGTTTGTGATACCCCACTTTATTGTTGGGATGTTTTATACATCTCGTAGATTGGCTCTGCTGTTGGTGGTACTGCTAGTGCGTTTTATGGATTTAACCACGGTAATCTACATCTTCCCTTTAAAAAATGTAATAAAATGTTTGGCTTTTATGGACAGTGAATTGGGTAGTTGCTGCCTTTCCTGTTGTACTGACTTGGCTTTTATGGACAAAATTAGGTGAACATGTATTAAGACCTTAATATGACAATATGGTATCGTGCTATAATATAAATCACCTTACTGTGTCTGTTATATTAGAAGGCTATAGGCTATATAAACTTACTAATAACATGGTTATTCTTGCAACACTTTGATACGGTGGATTTGGAAACAAGAAATATCTCCTTTATTGTCCACGAGTGCAAGAACCTAATTTTGTAAGCCTAGTCTCTTCATCTCCCTCTGAAGATCCACACCTGTCAATGAGTGTCTTCAAGATGCACCCAAGCAATTGCCTATGGTGAGGGGCGACACAAGGCGTAGGTTGATCGCCTGAGTGGTAGTCTAGGCAAGCCCCTTAAATAAGGTTCTCGCCATTTGCACCTTTCAGTCACCATGGATATATTCATGGCGACATAGGTGCTCACCTCCCTGTCTAATTTTTCTTTGATGCTTCTTCAATTCTTAAGTTCTGTAATTCTTGAATTCTTCGATTCAATTCTTCTTCGTCAATTCATTAATTGAGAAGAAGAATCGAAGTTTGAAGAAATAGAGTTGGAGAAGAGGAAGCAGTGAAGAAGAGAGAATCGGAAGACCTGTAACTTGTGTATTCAGCTTCTGTCAGCTTCAGACATATTTCATCTCTTTTTCTTTCTGTACATTTTCAGGCAACACTAAAGAAGTGCTAGTGTGCTAGTGTGAGTCAATACTCACATGCTTGGTAGTAAAATTGCCATCTGGTTGCAAAATTGACCAATGGCAGTAAGCACCTTGCACCTCAATTTATTTAAGTTATATCTGGTTTATTTTTGGTTTAATTTCCACATAAATGTTTTCAATCTTTCTATTTAACCACTATTTTTACTGTACTTTTTTTTAACTTATAGTTTTACTTTTTCTTAATTATTTAAGTTAACTTTTATTTGAACATTAAATAGTTTTACAAGTCTTTTCATGTTGAGTATTTAATTCTTTTTAACATGAAATTGCTATGAATAATATTTATTTGTTATTTTATTAACTGCACCTAACTTCACATAGGCAATGCCTTTTTGTCGCCTCTTGCCTTCGATTGATCGAAATATTTATCGCCTTTAGGTGCACTTTGCACGAAAACACTGCCCTCAATACAAATTCTTCGGTTGGTACCATATCTTTGGTCATAGTGCATGCGTTGAACACTTTGATTTCAGTACTCTGTTAACCGTTACTGCTTAGCAGATAATATTTCCATGTTGCTCACTTCCCCCCTTTTACTACTCTACACTTTTGCGTCAAGGAAGAGAAAAACCGAGTCTTCCATAAATTTAATAAGATCTGTTGATAGTTAACTTTATAGAAGAAATTACTTTGTTTATACTGAAGAAAGCAATGAATCCAACTAATACAGTGAGCTATCAACCAAATGCTATATTGAAGTACATGATCAGCACTAAAAGCATCCTACGTACTTTTTTTATATTTTCTTTCTTTCTTTTTTTGATCCAATAAACAGCTTGTTTATTTTCTGAGAATTTTCTTTTTTTTTTCTTCTATTTTGGAATGTCAATGCAGTGATGCCAATTGTTCGGAGATCAGTAAAAGGGCCTATGTGGTTGCATTTTCTTATTGGTGTAAGTACCTTATTGCTTTACTAACTAGAAATTTGTTGTGAACTGTGTTACAAAATCTGTCTTGAGGTATTTGAATATTTGATTCCTCATAGTCAAATTCTTAGCTATGAATTTCCAAGGGCATCTCTTGTGGTAGAGAACCATCCTCCTCTCTCGAGATATTTGTGACTATAATTTTGTGCCACAAACTTCTCTTTTCTTGTGCAATCTTTCAACACCTTTTATCTGTCTGCCCTTTTGCTGAGCCTTCTTGGTCCAATCTTTTCAACACCTTTGGTACTTGTTGGTGTTTTCCCAATTCCCAAAAGATGTAAGGATGCAGTTTCCCAGCTTTTGGAGGGATCTCCTTTTAAGAGGGCCAACGTTAGTTTTATGGTCAAATGCAGTTATTGCCAATCTTTGGAGACTTTGATTCAACAGGAACCAGAGGATTTCCAATGATTTTGAGATCTAGTGAGGATTTTTTATTCTACTTATAATTATAGTCTTGTATAGAGATCTCTGTCCATTGGGATTCTTTTTTTTAACCATAGGCTGAGTCTCATTCCCCTGGATTTTTGTTTGGCAGCTTAATTAAATTCTCTAGTTTCCTATAAAGAAGTCTCGTTTTTCTAGTGGGAATTTCCAAAGCCATTTTGGGCGGCAAAACCTAAGATTTTCTAGTGGGAATCTCCCAAAATTTTTTATTGGAATCAACATACTTTTTCTTTTCTTTTTTTGTGGGCGGACAAGATAGAAGCCCCATACCTGAGAACAAATGGCCTCGGAGCAGCTAAAAGAAATGTCTATAACTGCATATACAAACCACGAGAGACTTCAACATTGTTAGGTTTGGTTTTGTGCTCTCAAGGGGCAGTCTGGTTGGCAAAGCTCGGGGTCTCTTGGTTATATTGGCTTTAGAGGTCTCAAGTTCGAACCTTCAGGTAAATTTAATATCAAAAACCCATGATGTCTCCACGATTCGGGCCTTGGGGCGGGTGTGGGTCCCTTCGGGTATGGGGAGCAAAGCTCTGACTCCCAATTATAAAAAGAAAAAACATTGTTAGGTTCGTAAGGGAAATCATGGTTGAAGATTATTATTTGGGATGGTCTTGCAGAATTTTGGTAGGCCACCAATTAAGGATAGTTACAGAAGCACTGACACGGATACGACACAGACACGGACATGACGACATGTAACTGAGGCGGAGTGTCTGTGTCAGACACGTGTCGGACACACAGATACGCTCGGAGACGTGTTTGACAGGTCAATTAAAGTGTTCATCTTTTTTCTTTTTAAATTTCGGACACGAATGATACACAACTAGGACATGGATATTGATTTCAAGTCTCGAAAAAAGCCTTGCCCATTCGAGACAGTTGCAGCTGCCACTGCCCGCCTTTGCGGCAGCCACCATTGTGAGTTTTGCCATTGACATTGATGCCAACTTGCCACTCGGATGGAGGAGAAGTAGAAGAAAAATAAGAAAAGTGAAAGTAGAAGAAAACTAAGAAAAGTGAAAGTAGGAAATAGAAAAATGAAGTATGAGTAGAGTCGAAAGACCACAAAGAAAATAGAAAAAGAGAACAAGCGGAAGAAGATAGAAGATGGAGAGGATGGAGAAATAATCCATGCAGCTAATACTTCTCTTTAGTCTCTTCTCCTTCTCCTTTTTCTTCATCTTCTTCAACCATACTTCACTTCTTCCTTTCTTCTTTATTTTTGGTTGCTGCTTCTACTTCTCATTCTTGTGGAGAAGAAAATCAAGGCGCAAATGAAGTTTGCGGAACTGTGCAAATGAAAATGGGGAACTGGTGGACAGAATAAAGCACAAAAGAAATGATGGAGAACATGAAGATGAAAATTGGCAGAAACTTTGAAAGAAGAAACAAATGGGAACCGATGAAGAAGAAGGAAAAGATATGGGGGGAGCAAAGGAAAACCTAATGAATTGGGCTGGGCCTATCGAGTGTGGGCTGGAAGACAAAAATGAATCTGAAAATTAAATGGAATACTTATTTAGCAGGTCACATGCGTGTCGTGTGCGTGTGCCACCAAGTCCCAACCATGTCACCAATGTGTCTTATTTCATGTGTTGGACACGTGTAGGATGCGTGTCTGAGCATGTGAGTGTCCAACACTGACACTTAACCCTAATTTTCACGTGTTGGTGCTTCCTAGGAGTGAATGCTTTTATTGGCGGTTGTCAAGGGAAGAATGCAAAGGTTGGAGACAAAAAGGAGTGGAAAATGTTGATTGCGAAACCGGATTTGGGAAACTGTTTGGAAGGTGGTTGGCATGGAGTCAAATTGCCAATTTTTTAGGGGAAATATTCAGATGGTTGGATTGCTAAACCACTTGCTCGTTCACTGCTATTTCACCTCTACATGTTAGACTTTTATTTGTAGAAAAAATAGATTGGTCCGGTCGATGTCTTAAAGACATTTCTACGTTACTTTTTAAGATACTCTCTAGTTGGTGATTTGAAAGGTCAGTTCTATGAAGGAATGTGTGCATGGTCGATGTCTTAAAGACATTTCTACGTTTCTTTTGAGATACTCTCTAGTTGGTGATTTGAAAGGTCAGTTCTATGAAGGAATGTGTGCATGGTTTCTTTAGATAAACGACAAAATTTTCGATGATCAACAAGTTTCTTGCATTGTTTTTTGGAACTTGTACAACGTTTTAAATAGAGAATGTTCTTACTTCTCTACCTTATTTTATAATTAATGTTGATTGGGTGTGTTTTCTTTAACACATTATCAAGAAGCTTTTGGACTTTCGAACTTCAAGTCTTGAACATTCATCCACCTTTCTATCATTTAGCTGCCTCCTKAAACGTTCTAGCTTGTATTAAAGATTATACAACCTGGGAAAAGCATCTCAAAGGAGGCTTATTTTCAATCTACTTATCATCCAAAAGTGAACATGTTTGTCACTTTCCATTCTGGAGAATCCTTTGTGTTAAAAGTAATCTTTTCTGCATCATACCCGTCTTATGATGTTTTACCTTATGGATTCATGATATTTGGAAACTCTCCAAAGCCATTTTGGAACGAAAGATAGCCAATTGGAAGAATATTTATCTTTTCACCTCTTTCTCTTGTGCCCTTCTGTTGCCATCTATTGGTCCGAGCTTTTTAAAATCTTCAACATTATTTGGTGCTTTCCAAGTAGCAGTTTGGCTGTGATTTAATGCAATGATGCATGGCCGAGATCATTCCCGAAAGAAATCTCGTGTCGGTTAATGATGGATGAGATGAGGAAGGTGTCTTAGGCCATTCTAGCTATTTTGTGGTATATTTGGCATGAGAGAAACGAGAGTTTCTAAGAATTCTATAACTATAATTATTTCTGATAGTTGATATGGAATAAATGCTCTCACTGGAGAGCTATAAACTCTGTAGAAACAAATTTGTCCTTGATATTAATTTTATTGTTTTATTCCTCTTTTTAGTGGAAACATTTTACCTCATCAGAAATCATGATTGTTGAAATTTTTATCTCACTTGCAGGCTCCTCCTGTGATTGTATTTTCTTCAGCTTGTGCAGGAATGGCAGGTATGTTATTTTAGTGGTATCTAGGCCCCGTTTGATTACCATTTCGTTTTTAGTTTTCTGGTTTTGAAAATTTGGTTAGCTTCTCACTACTTCTTTCAGTATGTTTTTCACTTCTCCTAACATTTGAATTCTTGGTTAAATTTCAAAAATAAAAACTACTTGATTTTGAAGAAATTCATAGGTAAAGTGGTGTTCATGAGCTTAATTAAAAAAAAAAAAAGAAAAAAAACCCGAAACCGATAATCGGATGAGTTCTAAGTAGATGAATGCTTACAGGTGGTGGTGTTCCAGCCTTGGCCCAACTTTTTTCTACATCTTATCATTCGGCTGTCTTGACATCATCTACCTTCAAGAAATGACAAGATGCAGGACTCAACATCATCTTCTACGTTATAATGCAAATATATGTAGCCCGAAATCTTCTACGTTTAAATGTTTTTTCTATTTGGTCCCTATTGATTAAATTTGACCTTCGTTGATAATGAATGTTTAATAATATTTATTGTAGAGCGAGATTTCAGCGTCACGGAACTTGAAGGAAGAGACATTTTATTGTACATACATTTGGCATAGGGTTGTTTTTTGAGTTCAAGATGTGGGGTGGGATTCGAACTTCCTTGAGTTAATCATTGACATTCAATATGATATTACTATAGACATTTTATCTCATTACATTGAAAAAGGGCTATAAATATAAGGCAGTCTATTTTATTTTAGCCAATTTTCAATTAGGGTTTTAAAGTTTATAAAATTTTCTAATTTTATATGTGATGTATTAGAAATTTTTAACTAGGTCATTCCACCAATAAAATAAAAATTGTTAACATAAATTTAGAAATTTTTAGGAATTTTGAATGATTAAGAACCAAATTTAGAAAAAGTAATAGATTTAGGACCCTGAGATATATTTTGCAAAAAGAAAAACATTTGCGTATCCAACTTTTTTTGTTTTTTAATACTATTTTAGTCCATGTACTTTCAGCCTAGGTTCATTTTAGTCCTAGTACTTTAAAAATGTTCATTTTGGTTTATTTATTTTAAACTTTAGTTCACTTTTAGTCCTTGTATTTTGAAAATTTTTATTTGTTCCATTCACTTTTAAAAAGTGATCATTAAATTCTAACTCCAATTTTACACATATGGAAACTCTTTAGTATAAAATAATGTTTACATTTTAAGTAATATATTGATTTTAGTGTCATGTTGAAATTGTAATTGAAAAAAAAAAAGAGATTAAGAAAAAATTTAAAAGACCAAAATGGTTACTTTTTAAAAGTATAGAAACCAAAATAAATATTTTGAAAATATAGGGATCGAAATAAAACAGCTTAGTAGGCCAAACTATAATTTTAACCTTTTTTTTTTGTTCATGATCTTGATTTAAAACACTTCGATGTGCAACTAGTAGTTAGATCATGTAGGTCTGACCATCATGGAGTTTGAACTCATTTTCCCTCTAAACCATTTTGATTTACCTTGGCCTATTTGGATCAATGAGCCAACCCATGATAGTTGTTAAATCATGATAGAGATTGGTGCCAATTACCGCTAAGCTAAGTTCATGTTGGCAACCCTCACGGGGTTAAATCATCATTTGAATATTTAGCTATATAATTTCATGAGTTGTTTTTTTTAGTACATAAATTTCATGAGTTGTTGAAGAGAAGCATGATTGAATTTTGTTTTATATGCTTTGAAGGTAAAAATGGATAATTTTAAAATATTAAGAAAAATGGAACATCCATGATACCCACTTATCTTAGGAATTAGTAATTCCTATGTGTTTCCCAACACCAAATGTTGTAGGATCAGGCGGTTGTCCCGTGAGATTAGTCGAGGTATGCGTAAGCTGGCATTGACACTTAAATATAAAAAAGAAAGAAGGAACATAGATTTGTTACTTTTGTTTTTCTATATATGCTATGTTTTACTCTCTAAAGTTCAGGTGTTTTTTTCAATTAAGTTCCTATTGTTTAAGAAGTCTTCTTTTAGTCCCTTATATTTTTAGTTTTTTATTATACCATTTTTGTTGGTGATTATTAAAGATAGCTGGTGATGAACTTACCTGCCATGATTCTTAGATAAACAATGGTATATATAAAATGCATAATGAAAAAAAAAAAAGCTTTGTGGGTCGATTTTATTCTTCCATTTTTAAGTGCCAATATCAACATTCTTTCCTGTGTGTCTATTATTGAATTAACTCGACTCGATAGTACCCATTTTTGGAAGGTCCTAAAGTCACTAAATGGTAAGTCGCCATTCTCTAAAACAAACAATGTAATGTACTTTATCTGCTGGGTTACAGGTGGACATTTTACGCGAGGTTGCTATTGTATCGATCTACCCTTCTTTAATTCATGTTTTGCTATCATTGTATTGTCATTTTATCATTGCCTTTTAACTTTTTGTCTTCCCTTTTAATATCAAACTATGAATCCAAATTATCATTTATATTATTATCTAATGCTCTTTGTAACTATGCTTTTCACTCATTCAGATTTTAAAAATCTTTTCCTTCTCCCCAATATTTTTCTAAACGTTTATACATAAATGAGTAGAAGATGAAAAAACATAGTGCAATGGCTTGAATTTTTTCAAATTTCTATAGTATAGAATCAATCGATCCAAAAATTTCTAATATAACTTGTTATGGGAAAACAAAAATAGACGTGACAGACGAGCTACCTCACAGGTCCATGGCCCAACGCATGACCAGACCCTGACATGACCAAACCTAAGGTATAACTAGGTTTAAGGCATGACCAGATTCACGACATGACTAGATCCACCGCATGACATGATCGAGGGCTTGACCAGATCTAGGGCCCCACAAGATCCCAATCGACCAATCCTATTTTTGCCCAACTATTCTATAGATAAAATAAGGATGACGTGGGGTAACTCCCCACGTTATAACGACCCAACCACCCTGTACAATTAAGGAAGGGAGTGTTAATTAATTAATATTAATCAAATTAATACTAATTATATTAATAATTAATAATTAATTAATCTTATTAATTAATTAATATTTATTAATCGTTAATCTAATTAACAATTAATTAATCATATATATTAATCAAATAAATAAATAATTAACACTTAATTATTTATTACAAAAATAGAATCATATTTAACCTATAATTTTAATATGAATCTTATTCATATTAATTTTATTTGAATCTCATCCAAATAATTTCTCTCATAATATATAGTTTTAATTTAGAATTAACTATATATTATAATGTATCAATATAGAGTTAATTCTAATTAAAACTATATATTATGAGAGAAATTATTTGAATGAGATTCAAATAAAATTACTATGAATGTGATTCATATTAAAACTATACGTTAAAAATAATGTACATAAAATGTATATTACAACTATAACTTATACGAGAGAAAGACTTTTAGAATATAGAATATGATTCTATTTTGATACTAAATATTTAAATGTTAATTATTTATTTAGTTAATATATATATATATATATATAATTAATTGTTAATTAGATTAATAATTAATTAATTAATAAGATTAATTAATTATATACATATTAATTATTATTATTATTTATTAATATTAATGTAATTAATAATAAATAAAATAAAACTCCTCTACAAAGGGAGTGGGGAGTTATGTGACGTGGGGTAACTCCCCACGTCATGTTGTTTTTAGTTTTTGCAAAAGTGTTATGCAAAATCAGAATATTGATTCCAAATAAGTCAAAGGCATTCTCTCAAGCTCTCTCTCTCAATTCCCTATTATTTTCCAAAAACAAAGCTCCAACAAGCGAGATCATCATTCTTAGAGGATAGCGGGAAGATCGGTGGTGATGTTCGTTGGTGATTCCTTAAAGAACGGTTCTTCAAAGGTAAAGAAAAACTTTCCCTTATATTTTTCTCTTTGTTTTTGTAGGTTTTTTGTTCCTAAAATTTCAAGAATAAAGATCTTCGTTTCCGCTGCGGGATTTACGTCCCATCAATTGGTATCAGAGCGGCGTTTACGTTATGGATTTTTTAGTATCAAAATCACTGTTTTTGGTGGGTTTTTTCTCCATTTTTGAAATGTGGGTTTTGCGGGTTGGATGTTTGCGAATTTTAGCATGTAGATAGCGTTTTTTCTTCTTGATTTGATCATGTAAGAGCCCGGTGTTTTGGGCATTATGTTTCTGTATCGAGTCTATAAGTTCGGGTCACTCGAAAGTTGTTCGTGGTGTCGGATTGGACATTTGTTTTGCAGAAAACAGTGAATAAGACGCAGCAGTCTGCACAGGAAGCGCCATGGCACTATGCAGCAGCGCCATGGCGCTGCCGAAGAACAGCAAATAGAGCCGCGACGTTGCACTGTAGAGCTGCAGCACTGTCTCGGGTGTTTTCCGATGTGGTTTCATTGTCCCGGTTCGCGGTTCGAGTAYTGTTTCGAGCTTTTTCTTCGGTTTTTTTTATTATTTATTTATTTTCTTTCTTAGGATGCAAAAATTCGGTCCAACTTTGTTATTTAATTTATTTTATGCGTTTTGAATGTATATTTTAATTAAATGTATATTGCATATTTTATGCCATATAGTTTTTAAATCTCACCATAGGATACATGCATAATATGTATATACGAGAGGAGCTGGAACATGTCATTTCTTCCTTCAACTAGGCCAACAGACTTCTAGAGGGTACCCAACGTGAGTTGGAAACGGAGAAGAGAAAATCTCGAGACGAGCTAGCTAACCTGCAGAGGAGACTTGACAAGGCCAACGCTCGACTCTCTAATTCTGAATTCTTGGCCGGAGAATTCAAGAAAACTCAGGAGTACGTCGACTTGCAAAACTCTGCCATGGAGTGCGATGTTTCCTGGTCTCTTCGTCAGGTTTTTACTCAACACCCTGACATTGACTTTTTCTTCCTCCCGGAGCATTTTAGGGCCGAGCGTGACGCTCATGACGACATGGATGACGACGATGACGAGTAATAGGGTAGCTTGAGCGAGTCGTTTTACAGTTCACTTTCATGTGCTTTGTCACTACGTTGCTTGTATTTCTTTTCTTTTGGAATTATCAATTAACCCTCTTACCAATCACTTATTGGCTTACGGCTCTAACTCTGATGGAGTTTTGTTGCTTTCATTTCCGTAGGTTTCTAACCCGTTGGTCATATCCAATGGTTTTACACCCGCTGTCGTTTTTGACCTTTTACTCCATCTCATGTTTTAACCGTGCTAGGTCAATCGACCTGCTTCTGGTTTGGCTGTGTTGAGATTGTTTAATTGTTCTTTCCAAATGTGTCGATTAAAGTAGATTCGTGCTTCGTCGCACGTGGTTGGCATCGAGTGCTGGTCGGTCCCGAGCCCTGCTCGGCCTGCTCGGCTAGAGTTGGTTTTACCGTCGCCGTGTAGAGTTGGATTTACCAAGCTTACGTCGTCGAGTAGCCGTAGCCGGTACCTATTGCCCCTACTCTCGAGGTGAAGGGATGTGAATCTCGGAGCGGAAACGGATTTTCGTTGCTGATTTTCGAGATACAAAACCGAATTTTACAAAAGAAAAGTACATAGAAAACTTTACCTTTGAAGAACGTTTCTTCAACTAGTTTTTCTCGAACACCACCACTATTTCTTCCTCGCTATCCTCTGGGTACGAGATCGTTCTTGTAAGAGAGTTTCTTTGGAACGAGAGGGAAAATTTTA